CTTTCTTTTTTGTACATTTTGTTCTTTTTACAGATATTGTTTAAACTGATCAATTTCTGTCAACCATGAGTATATATATACATATGGATGTCACAACCTACAGGGCCTGCATGAGGTAAGGCAGAAAGAATTCAGTCTTTGAGGGTTCAAAGTAGGACGAGAGACAAACTCCTCACGCTTAGCATCTTTGGGACAAAATTACTGACGTCAACAAAATTTTGCCAATACCCATAATGCCATGCAGGTTAAGTTTGCTGCTTGTTTTTTATGAAAGGAAGATTCCTGGTTTTGCTTCAAATGAGAAAAAAAACAGTTTTGCACAATCACTGGCTGCCAGTCATGTTGGATAATAGAATAAAAAAGAGAGTACTAATTCTTTTCTAAATGTGTTGCTGTTGTGTCCTCCAACATGGGTGATAGAACGTGACTGTGCAAAATCCCTTGAGGAATGAGGAATCTCAAGTATGGTTAAATGCAGATCACAGGATCACCACCAAAATGAAATGTAAGAAAGATATCATAACACTATACGTAAGAAATAATTTAGAAATAGAAACAGTGCAGTCAGCTTTAKTTTTTAGTATGTTAACATTTTCGATCCAATATAGCAGTAGTGATCACATGACCTGCTAGCATATACATTCTGCATTGGGAAGTCTACTTACTATATACAGTATGCAAGATTAGGCAGTAATTCCTATTAGGTCATRGCTGCGAACATTGCCTGTTGACGTTCTAGGTCTTCAACTGACATGACTTTCTTGTCATGCACACTTGGGGTCTTTCCCTGAGTGCTTCTCAGGATGTCTTCACTAAACCATTTGGCCAGTACATTGTCACTTGGTGATMCTCTAGGGTTAGGATCTTGATGCTGTGGCATATTACTAGGAACTGAAGGTAATGAGATGGTATTAATAGTAAATCTTAGTCATAATATTTAAAAGCACCTAATGCCTACAGCAGCAAAGGCAAGAGGGGCCAAGGGGGCAAGAGCCCCCCCTTTGTGACAACAAAATGGCAGCTTTATAAACAATCAAGCAACAAACCTTTTCCTTGATGGTGCATCAAGCCTGGGTGTCTTGGAACTGGATAATTTGATGCTGGAGGCACCATGGGAGGATTCATTGGTCCATAACCATGGTGGCCAGGCATTGGAGTATGGCCTGGTCCATACATCATGGAARGATGCTGCTGCATCATCTGCATGACAGCAGCTTGTGACGGCATGGGCATACTAGGGTTCCTAGGAGGCATCATCCTTAGGTAAGGAGAAGGTACAGGTGATCGCATCATAGCTGGGTGGACCCCCTGTTTCCCCTGTGGGTGCATGTTTTGTAGTGGGGTGTTGTAAGGGGTACGGGGTAGTCCAGGTGATCGTAGYGTTGATGGYGAGACCCGTCCACCCATCATATGAGGRGGTGTTGGTCTGTTCCTGTACATTTGGTTGAGGTTGTGAATCTCTCTCCTGAGTTGCTGCTGCTGTTGTTGCTGATGCTGTTGTATGGCTTGTTGCAGTTGCCRTTGTTGTTCATGATCTTGCCTTCGATCACTCATTTCTTTTTGCATTCTCAAATGGAARAGCTCATCTGGAACCTTTCCTTCATGGCTGTTTGCAATACCCCTATCAA